AAGTGTCAGGATGGCCGAGCGGTCTAAGGCGCCAGACTCAAGGTCATACCTTCCCAAGATGCTTGGGAGCGGGCGTTCTGGTCTCCGAATGGAGGCGTGGGTTCGAATCCCACTTCTGACAAATTTTTTTTACCATACTCTAATCATTTTTTTCTTATGATAATAAATAATAAAAATAAATATTTTATTTAACGAGGGTGGCACGTAATAGTATAAAAATGCTAACAAACTTGTGGCCCTCTTCTATAGAATGAAGTTAACCATGGTTTATTTTCTCCTCTTGGTAGAGGGTCCTAGATGCGGTTTTTAAAAGCGTTACAGATATTGGAAAGGAATGCAACCTGAATTCACTTGAGCAGGTTCGTAAAAGAATTTTCTTGTGCCGAGTGTAGGGATGGGTAGCGGTATAGTGTACTCGTGAATCACCTCTGGGGTCTTGTTTTCCGATGCCTGAGCGGCTTTACATGCGTTCCTCCCTTTTTAGAAGTTTTTCTTCTGAGTTCTCCTCCCTTCGCAAAACCAAACAAAATAAAAAATAAAACAAACAAACAAACAAAACAAAAACGGGCAAAATCCAACACGATAAATTTCAATTTATGCATCTGTGTGTTAACTTGCCCTGACTTAGATCAGCCCAATGAGTTGTTTCAGGGTTCGATCTGTGAGTTAGCCATACCCTGACTTAGATCAGCCCAGAGGTTGTTTCAGGGTTCAATAAGCTGTGAGTTAGTCATGCCCTGACTTAGATCAGCCCAGAGGTTGTTTCAGGGTATCGATAACATTTGAAGGCTTTAAAATTATATAATAACTTGGTTTACTTCTTATTTTTTCATTAACAGATAAAGGGAATATATCTACACGATGAGCCTTTCTCCATAGAGAACAACTTGCTGACTCCAACCCTTAAAAAGAAACGACCACCCCTAGTGAAACTCTTCCGGAAACAAATCGATGCATTGTACGAATCAATTGATAACGTTTCGTAACTGTCAAAAATCCTGACATTTCTGTGACATTTTGGCCAACTTTTCGCTTCACAACGGTGAGATAAGACCATTAATATTGCCATCTCCCAACACAATTGTTTTTCTTTTTTATTTCCTCATGCGAAATTTTCGAGAAATGTAAACTAATTAAAACAGTTTCACAACAATCTCATTTATTGTCAAACTTGAGTATATATCTTTTATTTTTCTTTAAAATATGTCTTAGATTTATATTAATGTCCAGTAAACGAGAAAAAAAGTTGTCTTTCTGGGTTAACTTTAACGTTACCTAGGGTGCTTATAATTTAAACCAATCCAACAGGTTGGAAATTCATTCGCTAATGATAGCTTCCTACACACGCTTCTACCAAAAGGATCGAAAAGAGCGGGAAAATTTGATTACTTCAATCGGAAGACTGTTTTTCCGGAACTTTCCGATGGCAACGACACATACCATTCGTTTTCCCAATCGGAATTTCCGGTTTTTCCCGGTAAATGTCCGTTCTTTTCTGAATCGTTAGTGTGCGCATCCCTATGAGTTACTCTGTTTAAATCGCCATAACTCGGTAACAGATCACTTGATCATTTCTCGCCATGTTCTTCGGGGAAATAAATTCCCTTTATTAAAAACAGCTGCACAATTTCCTGGCATGGTTTTACGTGTGGATAATTCCTGAGTAAGGGGATTATATTTAACATGGCCGCGAGCACATAAACATGCAAAAAAAAAAAAAAAAATGAAAAAAAAAAAAAAAAAAAAACAAACAACAACAATAAACCCGATATATATCTTCAAGATAGCTACAAGCTTTTCCCCATCTAATTATAAGTTATTTTTAAGAATTTCTTCAGATGTTTTATTCTTAGGTGAACCATTTTCGAACAATCATATACTTTTAGTTATAATATTTAGTGGTTACAAAAACTGTCCAACAGACAAACGATACAGCTATTTAAAAAAAAAGATTGGTGAAGGTTTTGGTTGCATGCTTACAAGCTTGAAAAGTATCGTGCAGCATAAGTAAATAATGCCTGCAGATATAAAACTTTGCCGGAAAAACGTGCAGTGTAGAGTAATGTTCCCTCTATTAGATACTTTTTTGCCACGTAACTTAAGTTTTCATACATTTATTTATTCGGGAAAAAAATTGTGGAAATATCATATTAAGTATATTGTTTGGATACTTTTTTACAAAGTAACTTAAATTTTCGTATATTCATTTATTCGGAAAAAATTTGTGAAAATACCATATTAAGTATATTGTTTGGACCTTTCACTGTTTGCATTCACATCGCCTATAAAGCATTTCGGGGTTGGTATGCAAAATGCAACAAATCCTTCACCAACATTTTTTTTGAATAGCTCAGTATATATCAGCGGCTTAAAGCACACTAATCCTGTAGTTTTCTGTACATCTCTTCAAAGGTGTCCTTGAAGTGTTTTGTTATATCTGGACGCTTGAACTTCAAGGTTGGTGTAAGGAGGCCATTATCTACCGAGAAGGGATCGGGGTGAAGATAAATTGCTTTGACCTGATAAAACAAAAATGTATAGAGAACGAATTAAGACAATTAAACTAGGCAATCTTCCTCGCAACTTGTCTTGCGATTTCAATGCCAAGACAAGTTGCAGAAGAATTTGCCTGGTATAACATCTCAAATACTTATCTTACAATCTTGTTACAACATTGCCGCAATCCGGGGCGTTGCAAGAAATGGAAGTTCGTGTTCTGGTTTAACGCTTGCGGCAACTATTTCGAGACATTGGCTGGTGTAGTACCCATCCTGCAACTTGTCTCGCAACGAGTGTTATGACAGTCAGTGATATTTTATCAGGCATACGTTATTTATCGTTACACAAGTTGCATAAAACATTCGCCTGCTGTAATATTATCTTTCAATGCTATTGCAAACCACTATTCAGTTATTGCTCAACAAAATAGACCTATATACCTTGGGCGTAATGTTTCACATTTGAGACCGTGTCATTCCCTGGAGTATTATTTCCTTAATCAAACGGTTGCGCATGAGAAGACATGGATACCACTCAACATGGATACAACATGAATATAACTCAAACAAAGAATCTTTTTCTCAAGAGAATGACACGTAACAACAAACGATGAACGTAATAATTTCTCTCTTCATCAGAGTATCCAAAGTTATGGATACTCAAAGAAGAAAGAAATCTAAACAAGCGCGTGAAGGGGGATTGAACAAATTTTACCTGTTGGAATGAGTATAGTTTCTCTTTCTTTCCCATTGCAATCATCTCATTAAATATGGCAGTACGAACTTTCTGTGATGTGAAAAAAGAAAAAAAATTAAAGATTGGCCGGAATAACGTCAATAGCTAGCACTCTGACAAAATCGTACGACAAAGTGACATTGACATAAATGGCTGCATGAACTAGTAACTATAGGACGTATTAAAGCGTATTAAAGCGTATTAACTATGGTTGTCAAACTCATTAATAATTCATGAGGAAAACACCATATATTAAATAACTTAACGTCATTTAACGCCCGTCTCGTGAGGAGTGTTCATCAAAGACCTTTTTCTGCGAACGCAGTGCATTATGGTCTAGCTTGGGTACAAACATCTTTTGTTCACCATGCCTTATATGGTCTTTGTACCTAATTAGACCACATTGCATCCTGTTTATCGAACTCAGAAAAGGCCTATTTGAAGTAGGAAATGAGATTCAAGGACTAGCTTGTATCAATTGACTGAATACCAGCAATCGTACCCACCTCATTCTTGCAGAGGTTTTCTACATCTCCATCACATCCATTCTTTGCAGCCCATTTTTTGATTTGAGCTTCATCGGGTACCACTAAGCATACAATACAGGACTGCGAAACAAATCAAGTAAATAACGAAACAAATGATTTATTTTCAAAAACGTCAGTTTAGTTACACACTTTTTTTCTTCGTGTTTAAGTTTCCATCTTATTCAAAACACCAACGCAGTCCTCACTTGTAACCACTAGTCATTCTTATTCACTTGTTGAATTCAACACACCAACACAGTCCCAACTAGTAACCACTAGTCATTCTTATTGACTTGTTGTATTCAACACACCAACACAGTCCCAACTAGTAACCACTAGTCATTCTTATTCACTTGTTGTATACAACACACCAACACAGTCCCAACTAGTAACCACTAGTCATTCTTATTCACTTGTTGTATTCAACACACCAACACAGTCCCAACTAGTAACCACTA